TATTACTTGTCCACTTCACCACTCTCCCCCCTTCTCCTCCCCTCACCCCATTCCTTCCTCTCTCTCCCCATCTTTTCCTCTTTCTCTCCCCCTCACGCCACATTCTCGTGAGTCCTTTTATTCGATTCGAGCCGTTTCCTCCCACAGTACCTCAACCTTTTTCTCCCCTGCTCACTCTCTCCCTCTCCCTCCCCCCTGTCCCTTCCCCCCTGTCCCTTTCCCTCTGCCTCCCCCCCTCCCCTCCCCTCCCCTCCGTCCCCCTCTCCCTCACGCGCGCGTGTGCAACGGCGAGAGCAGAAGAAGCAGAAGGAGATCGGCGAGCGGGAGCTGCTGTACAGGAGCTGCGAGAAGGCGCTGGGGGAGCTCGAGAGCAAGAACAGCGAGCTGCGCAGGTGCGGGGGGGATATGGGGATGGGGAGGAGAGGTGAGAAGAGGAGAGAAGAGGTGAGGAGAGGTGAGGAGAGGTGAGAAGGCCCTGGGGGAGCTCGAGAGCAAGAACAGCGAGCTTCGCAGGTGAAGGGGAAAGAGGGGAGGAGGGTGGATGGGGACTTGGTAGCGGGAGGTGAGAGCGGGAGGGTTGAGAGTGGGCCAAGATGAGGGGGTTAGAAGTGGTGAGGGTGGGTAGCGAGACGAGGGAGAGAAGGCCGTGAAGGAGCTTGAGAGCAAGGATCCGTGCCGGCCGGGTTGGCCCTTTTATTATTCTGTGTTTCTCCTTGCTCTTTCGTTTCTCGTCTGCCCTCCCTGCCTCCCATGCGCACCTTCGTGCTTCGCCCTTGGCTTCCCTTCTCTTCCCCTCGCCGACTAACCGCGTCCATTCGTGCACCTACTTGCTTGTGCTGCTTCTTCCTCCCACATCTTGCCCTTCCCTTCCCCCCCGCCTCTCCCCCTCCCTCCTTCCCTTCCCCCCTCCTTCCCTCCTCCCCCTCTCCCCACTGTTTCCCGTTTTCACCCGCCCTCCCCTTGCCCCCGCCCCTCCCCGCCCCCTCCCCCCGCGTCCTTTACCTCCCCGCGCGCGCAGCGAGGTGCGGCGCCTGGAGAAGGTGGCGGAGGGCGCGCAGGCGGACGCGGAGCAGCTGCGCATGGGGCTAGAAGCCATGGAGCGGGAGGGGCGCAACCTCAAGAAAACCCTCTCCACTCTCACCAAGGAGCGCGACGCTCTTAAAGCCGGGCTCGACCGCGCCATGCTGGAGCAGGAGCGGCTGCTTAAAGCCCTGACCATGAGCTGCAGTGAGCTGGAGGAGTTGCGGGAAGAGGTGGCTTGTATGAAGCGGCAGGAGGAGGAATTGAGGCAGGAAGTGCAGGAGGAGCGGACGGAAAGGGAGAGGATTCAGGAGGATTTACTGGTTGAGATGGAAGAGGTGAGGCAGGCTAAGAGGGGACTTGAGGAAAGTCTGAGGCGCGCGGAGGAGGAGCGCGATGAGCTGCGCGCGGTGGCGGAGAAGGCGGCGAGTGCGGCGGAGGGAGCGAGAGCGGGGAGTGGTGCGGATGGGGATGCGGACGGGTGGGCGAAGGGAGGGAGGGAGTGGGGAAGGGGAGAGGTTAGGAGGGGGGAGGTTCAGGATGACGAGGAGGAGGAGGAGGGTGGGTGGAAGGAGAGTGGTGCCGGCGCTGGCGCTGGTGGTGGTGGTGGGGCGGAGTGGAAGGAAAAGGCAGAAGCGCTGATGCAGCTTCTGAGGGAGAAGGAGGCGCAGTGGGAGCTAGACCTGATGATCGAGCGCGGGGAGGTTGAGAAGATTCGGCAGCGGGAGCTGCAGAGGGAAGCGGAGAGAGAGGCTGAGCGGCGGAGGGATCTGGAGCTTGTGAAAGAGCGCGAGGAGGAGATTCGGAGGCTGATTGAGCGGGAGAAGGAGAGGGAGCGGGAGGTGCTGCAGGGGCAGGCGAGGATTGGGGGGGTGGAGCGGAAGCGGGAGGAGGAGAAGGCGAGGGAGCGGGAGAGGGAGGTGCAGAGGGAGAGGGAGAAACAGGCGGAGAGGGAGAGGGAGAGGAAGCGGCAGAGGGAGCGGGTTGAGGAGAGGGAGAGGGAGAGGCAGAGGGAGAAGGAGAGGGCTGAGGAGAGGATTCGAGAGGCGCAGAGAGAGAAGGAGAGGGCTGAGGAGAGGGAGAGGGAGAGGGAGAGAGAGAGGGAGCGAGCGGAGGAGGTCGAGAGGCAGAGGGTGAGGGAGAAGGAGCGGGAGCAGGAGAGAGCGCGTGAGAAGAAGCGACAGGCGGAGAAGAAGAGAGAGGAAGAGAGGCAGCTTCAGATTCAGAGGGAGAGGGAGGAGGAGAAGAAGCAGCGGGCTGAGGAGAGGGAGAGGGAGATTCGGCGGGAGCAGGAGCGGCAGGAGGAGAGAGAGCGGGAGAGGGTGCGTATTCAAGAGCTGGAGCGTCTATGGGAGAAAGAGCAGGCAGCCAATCAGGAGAGGGAGGTGCTTCGAGAGAAGGAGAGGGAGAGGGAACGGGAGAAGGAGCGAGAGCGGGCGCAGGAGAGGGAGATGGAGAAGCAGCGGGAGAAGGAGCGCGAGAGGCTGCGAGTCGCGGAGCAGCGGCGGGAGGAGGAGCGGGAGAAGGAGCGGGAGGACATGCGGAAGCAGCAGGACGAGTGGCAGAAGGAGAAGGAGCAAATGACAGACGAGATGCACGGGCTGCACGCGCAGCTGCTCGCCGCGCGCAGGGAGCTCGCCACGGCACGCCAGCAGAGCAACGACCGCTGCAAGGCGCTAAACGACGAGCTGGACGAGCTTAAAACGCGGATGGTGGCGGTGGAGGCGGAGAACAAGCGCGTGAAGGCGGAGAAGGAGAGCATGGGGGAGGTGCTGGGCGAGGCGGAGTACGAGCGGGATGCGTTCAAGCTCGCGCTCGAGCACTCCAATCTCGAGCACAAGCTGCTCTCGCACGCGCTGGTCAGCTATCTCTCCCCAACGTTGCTTGCTCTCGCTCTCTTTCTCTCCGCCTCTTGTTCTCCTCTGCTTCACTTGCTCGTGCTGCTCGAGCACTCCAATCTCGAGCACAAGCTGCTGTCCCACGCGCTGCTCAGTCAGTCAGTCGCTTTCCAAGCTGACTTTCTCCTCTCTACGCCTTTCACTGTTGCTCTTCTCTTGCTCTCCCGTCCTTTCGTGTATTCGTGTCCCACGCATCGCCTCATCGCCTTTCTATCCACTCGTCTTTTCTTCCCCTCTCTTCTGCTCTCGCTCCTGCTCGTCCAATCCCCCTGTGCCGCGCGTCACCCACAACAGAAGTCCAACGGCTCCCACGCCATTCAGAACCTTCACGGCGAGCTCTCTGCGGCTCAGGTGCGTCTCTTCAGAAGCTACATGCATCTGGAATGCCTGAAATGAATGCCTTACAGCGCTGAGCCTGTAGGGGGAGGCTCGCTGCATGCAGCGCGCGAGCCTTCTGGTGAAAGAGCGCTCTGATTATTTCCTGCTAGCTTCTTACCTGCCTGTTGAAACAGGCACACCACTCTACCACGATTTTTTAGGCGCCTGAACGATAGTCTCACTAAAGTCTGTATTCTGAGGCAAGCTCATAGCTGTGCCCGCTTCATCCCCACTCTATTCCCTGTCCCTCTCCCCGCTTGCACTGCCTCCGTTTTGCACTATATCTGGTCGCCAACTCCCCTCTATTCCTCTCTCATTCTCTCTCGCCCTGCTCTCATTCTCGCCCTCGCTTTCCGTCTCCTTCCCTCCCTCACCCCACCTTCCCTCCACCTCCCCCTCCCGCCTCACCCCTCCAGGCGTCAGTGCGAGCCCTGCAGTCAACAGTGGAGGTCATGCAGCAACAGATGCGCAAGGTGCGTGCATGATGGGGGGGGGGGGAGGGGGGGGTTTCCCATGCATGGGAGGGGTGGCATGTTATCACTCGAGATGAGCAAGGGGTGGTACGCGATCAAGCAAGCATGTTTGCACTGCATGAGCCTTGGTGTCACGCCTATCAACCAGCTGGTTCTCTTAGCCGTCTCTCAACTCAGTTTCGTCTCAGCTATTGTCGATCCCCCACATCTCTGGAAACTCATGAAAGCTCAACCATTCCAACCAGTCAGTCTTCTCGGCAGCTTTTGATTAGGGAGTGGCGGCATAGGGGAGAATTAACAACGCCACATCAGCTCTTTTCTCCTCTTCTGCATGGACCAACTTGTGCATGGAGTTTGCATGGGCAAAGTTTATATGGTCCATCCTTGGCAAAGCGGGAAGGCCGGAAAGCCAATGACTTGTTTTGAATGCAGATGGACCTAGATGAATCTCAGATTGCCGCTTGTCTTTCGCTTGAGGCTCCTTTTCCCATGTGGACTCGAAGTCACTCACAAGCGTACATTCTGCTCCATAAACCCAAGCCCCCTTCCACCCAGCCCTCATCTGAGAGCGCGTCTCTGCTGGAGGAAGCGCACTCACCTCAACATCTCCCCTCCTCTCTCCCTTGTTCTCATTCCCCTTGTACCCATGCCTCCCCCTTCCCCTTCCCCCACCGCAGTCGTCATCTGAGAGCGCGTCGCTGCTGGAGGAACTGACGGACCTCAAGGAGCTGCGCCTCTGCCCTTACCCTGCCCTCCCCTCTCCTCCTCCCTTTCCCCCCTATCCCCTTGCCTTCCGCCCCCCCTCCCCACAGTCGTCATCTGAGAGCGCGTCGCTGCTGGAGGAACTGACGGACCTTAAGGCGCTGCGACTCACAGAGGTCACCCAGGTGAGACTTCTCGCGTGCATCGAATGCCTGCTGGGTTCCTGGAAACTCGACGGAAACTCGACTGGAAACTCGACTCAAACGTTTACTAAGAGATGCAACTCAAGCAGAAAGGCAGGCTCAAGAGTCGACTCACAGGGGTGGCTCAATCAAGCCTCCGTCGACTGTTCCTACTCTTGCCTCAAGTGTGTGTATCACTTGCGTGTGACAGTGCAAAATGAAAGTGTCATCGTGATGCCCAAAACCTCCTAGGCTCTAGTACTGTGTCATCGTGATGCCCAAAACCTCCTAGGCTCTAGTACTGTGTGTGTGTGTGTGTGTGTGTGTGTGTGTGTGTGTGTGTGTGTGTGTGTGTGTAGGGCTCATGGTCCTGGCAGCATGGGAGGCCCGAGATGGGACTACTTGCCACAAGGGAACCTCGTTGCTCGTCCCATCGCTCAAGTGCGAGTGGGTTCCGTATTCCTTCTCTCACCCACTTCCCCCACTCCACCCCTGTTTCCTCCCACCCCCTTCACCTCCACTGCGCACCCCCCTCTTCCTCCTCCCCCCCCCCCCCTCCTCCTCCCCCTCTCTGTTCCCCATGGCAGCATAAGGACCAGGTGGCCCACCTGCAGATCACACTCTCATCCCACCTTCCTCCGCCAAACCTCCCCTCCCTCTCCTCCCTGCATCCCCCTTGTCTGCATTCACTTCCCACTTCCCCCATGGCAGCATAAGGACCATGTGGCCCACCTGCAGAGCACGCTCTCATCGCTCCGCCACGCATTGGACAAGGAGAGAGACACCAACACGCGCCTGCTGCGCACCCTGCAGGAGGCGGAGAAGGCTGCTGTGGAAGTGGCTACAGACGCACAGGGCATGAGCACGCATGCGCACAAGCTCATGCGTCTCGCTGCCGGACACAAGGACCGCCTCGGCAAGGCTGCCGCTGCTGCCGCTGCTGTTTCTGCTGGGAATGCTGCTGCTGCCGCTGCCGCTGCTGCGGCTGCTGCTGCTGCTGCTGGTGCTGGTAACGGCAAGTGAGGTGTTGGTGGGAACCTCGGAGGGGAGATGCAGCGTCGTCAGTTCAGTGTTTCTCCGGCTACTTATATTTCTATGAGCGCTGTTACCTACCTGTAGCTAGTTGTGTGTGTAAGGAGCAGAGCAGCTTCCATCTATCACACAACCCTCTAGGCTCGAATAAGGATGCTCTCATGTTCCTCCCTCTTCATGCAACCCAGCCTCCATCACACCCCATCTCTATCTATCCCCTCGACCCTTCAAACTCCACCCCATTCACACCCTCTCCCTCTGCTCGCTGTGCGCAATGCTTTGTACGATCGCCATGCTCCCTTGCTCTACTGGACCTTGAGGAGAGTGCAGCTCCAGCTGTGATTATCTTTGAAGCTCTGTTTCGCTTTGCAGGACGCTTATTTGTGAGCCAGCTGCATTGTTTGTCTTTTTTCTGTGGTTGAGAGCATGTATGTTACTGGATCGTAGTAGTGTTACTGTATGTAACTGAGACTACACCTTAGTGTGCTTGCTTTGCTTTGCTTTGTGTCAAACCTTATGCTATGCTCTATATTACTGCCTATCCCATTGCAAGTTCCTGGAAGAACAAAGGTTATGGTGGCTCTGAAACTAAAGTGGTACAGTACGTATGTAGACTTTCAGCATAGAAGGAAAGTAAATTGTTCTCTGCTCCTTACAAACATCAGCAGCCCTGTTTAGCATCTGTAAACCTGAAGGACCATAACTTAAGCTCTGCCCCTTGGAAGTTGCCACCTTTGGAAATGGAGTTGTTAGTTAAGTTCTGACTGAACGAAATGATTCTGGTTATTCAACTGTCTGCATAGGTCTGTTGTTAGTAGGATCTGACTGAGCCTTTGAGGAATAGCAATGCCGTAACAACCACACCTCACCACACCACTTGAACAAAAGAATCGCCTCAACAAGCAGCTGGCCACAGGTTATCATCACACCCCACTGCACTGCACTCCACCGCGCCTCACCTCACCACCACAGCCCAATATTGAGCAAAATGAACCCGGCATACAGCCGGCCATTAGTGCTCCTCCTGCGCTCATCAATCAACCTGCTCCAGTTGGACTCGAGTGAGCCCACAAAGTAATCGCAGTCCAGTCCGCTGCAATGGGTGCACTCCTCCACATGCGTCACCTCACCTCACCACAGCCCAATATTGAGTGCAATGAACCCGGCATACAGCCTTCCATTAGTTCTCCTCAACTCATTGCTCCAGTTGGACTCGAGCGAGCCGACAAAGTAGTCGCACTCGGCTGCTATGAGTTTACTCCAGTCTCCACCACACGCATCACCTCACCTCACCACAGCCCAATATTGAGTGCAATGAACCCGGCATACAGCCTCCCGTTGGTGCTCCTCAGCTCATTGATCAACCTGCTCCAATTCGACTCGAGCGAGCCCACAAAGTAGTCGCACTCGGCGGCAATGAGCACGCTGGCAAGGCTGACTGCCACGTCCTGCATGAACTCGTACGCACGCGTGTCGTTGGCGCCGGGGGGGAGACGTGGATTGGTGGAGTAGTGGAACTGCCAGGAGGGGTACTGCTTGGTTTGCTCGATTACAGACTGGTGGGCGCAGGTGGGGGGAGGGGAGGGAGGGAATGGGGGAGGGAGGGGGAAAGGGAGGTGATGTGGGTCACAGGGCAGGCGCGCGTTGGTGGAGTAGTGAAACTGCCAGGACGGGTACTGCTTCATCTGCTCTATAACAGACTGGTGGGCGCAGGTGGGGGGAGGGGAGGGAAGGGGGAAGGGAGAGGTGATGTGGGGTCACGGGGAAGGCTTGGGCTGGTGTGGCGTAGTGGAACTTCCAGGAAGGGTACTGTTTCGTCTGGTCGATTACGGACTGGTGGGCGCAGGTGGGGGTAAAGGGGGGAAGGGGGTGGAGAGGGGGAGGAGGGGGAAAGGGAGAGAGGTGATGTGGGGTCGTGCGGGGAGGCATGGGTTGGTGGAGTAGTGGGGCTGCCACGAGGGGTACTGCTTGGTCTGCTCCATCACGGACTGGTGGGCGCACAGAGGGCGGAAGGGGAAGGGATGGGGGAGGGGGAGGGGGGGGAGAGAGGCGCTGGGGGGCAGGTGCGCGTTGGTGGAGTAGTGGGACTGGCACGAGGGGTACTGCTTGGCCTGCTCCATCACGGTTATGTGGGGCGCAGGTGGGCGGAGGGGGGCGGAGGGGAGGGAGGGGTGGGAAAGAGGAAGGGTGAGGGAGAGGGGGCGGCAGAGAAGGGAGGAGGGAGAAGGAGAAGGAGAGACTGGTGTGTGAGGAGCTTTGGGGATGGTTGATGTGGAGGTTGGAGTGGCAGGCAACGTGTTGGGTTATGCATGCATACATGCACCTCTATCTCTGTGTTAGGCCACACGTCCTAACAATCAGGCACTGCCTTTCAAACAAGTCTAAGTCTTTTGAGGTGCTTCGATCGAGCCGCTTTTGAGCATGGTCGCCAAGTCACATCCTCAAAAGTAAAAAGTTGACATGATGAGATGCCTTGAACACCCCTCCCCCCCCCCCTCCTTCCTTTCGCAACCCGCCCTTTTGCTAAATCCCTCCTCCCATCCTCCCCCCTTCTCTCCAACCCTTACCTCCCTATCCCCCCCCTCTTTCAACGCACCTCCATTTCTGTATTGAGCCACACGTGCTTCAGATCCAGAACAGCAGCTCTCAGTCTCTGAGCAAAGGACATGTGCATGTCGAAGGACATGTCATCTCCTTGAACTTGTCGCTCTGCCACACACGCTTGGAATCTGGCACATTCTTTGATCCCACTCACAACTCCCCCTTATCTCACTCCCCTTCCTTTTCCCAACCGCCCTTTCCAGGCCCCTCTCCCTTCCCTCTCGCCCACCCCAACCCCCTCCCTCCAACGTACCTCCATCTCTGTATTGAGCCACACGTGCTTCAGATCCGGCACGGCAGCTCTCAACCTCTGAGCGAAGAACATGTGCATGGCGAACGACAGCAGCGTCATCTCCTTGAACTTGTCGCTCTGCCGCACGTGCACGCTCACCATCGGCCGCGGCGCATACACCTCCCCGCCCACCCCCTGCAGCATCCCCTGCACCTCCTTCCTCTTCCACCGCCCTTCCCCGTTCGGCCCGCAGTCAAACGCACACGACTCCATCCCTTTCGCCGGCCACACCTGCCCTTCCAGCGTGCTCCCGCCGAATTTCAACTCAGCGAGTGCCTTGGCCTGGGCCTTGGCAGCCCCGTCTAGATCCGCCTTGCCATCCGTGTCCTTCACAAAGAACCGCACCGGGTCGCCTGCGGCGACTAGTCTTAGGATCTCTGCTCGCTCCTCCTCGAAGCGCGACAGGTGCATGGCTGCGTGCAGCCCGTACGCGGAGTGGCGCACGCGGTTGGTCACGTGGCAGAGGTACGCGGATGGCCAGCGCAGCATGAAGCGCGTGGCTTGCGCTCGCCACCACCGCACCTGGGGAGGGGAAGGGAAGAAAGAGCAAGGAGACAACGGCGGAGAGGAGGGAGTGTCTTCTCTTTTTTTTTTTTGTCCTCCCCTGAAAAGGCTTGCCGCTCATTGACCTCACTTGGGAGAGGGCGGGGGAGGTAGGGAGGAGGATGGAGTTGGAACAAGCCAACAACTTAAGTCAACGGAATACGTGACAGCCATTTAGCCAACGGCCCCGAGGGTCGGACTAGACTACCTCTGGGATGACTCTCTAACCCAGAGGTAGCACATGTCTGGGTGCTATCCTGGTTGTACCTCTCGGATGCCTCTCTAATACATGTGCTATCTTGGGATGGAACCAGGTCCCACTTGCCCCAGACTACGGGTGCATGACACATTGGAAATGCCCAACACTGAGCCTGGACAGCTTTTGAGTCGACTGGGGATGGGTCAAAACCTTCCTGTCCCTTCCCACACATGCAGCACTCTCACGATGGGTCAAACTACTTTTGAGTCGACTCAAAAAGAGGCGCAACACTCTTCCTGTCCCTTCCCACACACGTGCGGGTGCTGCCACTCACATACCCTGACCAAGATTGCACGTTATTACTGCACCGTCACCACAAGTGCAATTGGCCTGAGAGCGTTGATTCACTTTGGATTGAGCTACCCTCGAGAGCCGTTGTCTTGCTTCGTGACATGACATGACATGATGTGACACGAGATGAGATGAGATGACATGACATGGCATCCCATGCCATGCCATGACAGGACACCCTCCACCATGCAACGACTTGTACGTGGCATGCGTACACGCCTCAACCTCACCCCTCTCCCACATCTCTCATCAGAATAATTTGCGCACCTCGAGCATCTTCAAGTCATTGTCCTGCTCCATGCCCCCCATCTACTCGACCATGTCCCTCTTGCACCCATGCTGGCATGCTTTCCCAACACCCCGTACCCCTCAAACCTCTCACCCCTCCCTCGCCCCTGACAGCGCACCTCGAGCATCTTGAAGTCGTCGTCCTGCTCCATGCCCCCCATGCACTCCACCATGTCCGTCTCGCACCCATGCAGCCACACTTTCCCCACACCTATACCTCTCAAACCGCACACTCCCCCACATCTCACCCCGCACCTCGAGCATCTTGAAGTCGTCGTCCTGCTCCATGCCCCCCATGTACTCCACCATGTCCAACCGATCCAGGTGCGGGCTGCCCCATAGACTGCACACCACGCATGCACACAAGCATACACACACACGCGCACGCACACACGCAACACACAGGGCACAGTAGCAGGGGGAACATAGAGAATGTGTGTGGGCATGCTGAGACGTCTCGAAGCTTTTGAGAGGTGTCTGAAGTCGGTATGACCAGAGGAGCCTTAGGGTTTTGAGATTTTCTTGAACCCAGGTAGGACCAGGTGAGGTTGCATCTGTTGCATGCAACACAAAAGCTCTGCACTACAGAATCAGCACAGCTAGCTCTCTTCATACCGCACATTCTTACACTGACGCATGATTTGTAGACTCATCATTTGACCACAGAAAAATAAACCAAACCGACCCACACCTCACGCCTCAAAACACATCCGCCTTCGTCCCGTGAAAGTGGTGGGGTGGTTTTGAGACGTCTCAAATCAAAACCACCCTTCTTTCACGTGGCTTCGTCCCCTTCTTCACCCTCCTGCTCCTCCTTTAAAATGTCACCGCCTGCCTCCCGTTCCCACTTCATCTCCCATCATCTTTCCCTCCCAAACTCCCCACCACATGGTCCCCCACAACTCCAGCCTCAGCTGCTCCACATGCACTCGGCTCATGCACACCACCATCTAAACTTCACCGCTTACCCGACTCCGTTCTCCCCTCCCCATTCTCTCCCTCTTCTCTCTCCCCTCCCCATTCTCCCCCTCCCCATCCTCTCCCTACCCATCCTCTCCCTCCCCACGCGCGCCTCTCCACCTGGTTGCCCGGGGTTCCATTCCAGCTTCACCCAGTCCACATGAAGAGCGCTCACACACACACACACACCACCGTCTCGATTTCCCCTCTGCTCTCTCTCCTTCGCGGACCTTCTCATCTTCCCCCTACTTTCCCCCCACCTGGTGGCGCGGGATTCCAGCTTCATCCAGTCAACGCGTCGGGGGCGCACACACACCCCCCCCCCCCCCCCCCCCCCCACCCCCCCCCCCCCCCCCCCCCCCCCCTCCCACACACACACACCACCATCTCATTCGCCGTCTGGACTGACCTTCCGCCCATCCCCACTCTATCCCGGCCCATTCCTTCACCAATCCCAACAGTATCCCCATCCTCACCCGCACCTGGTGGCGCGGGATTCCAGCTTCAGCCGATCGACGCGCAGGGGGCTCACACACAGCACCTGCACTGACCTTCCGCCCATAATTATCCTCTCCCTCCCCATACTTTTGAAAACTGCCAAAAGAGTTCTCCTCATCCCCAACCCCCCCCACCTAGTGGCCCGGGATTCCAGCTTCAGCCGATCGACGCGAAGCGGGCTGACACACACCACCGTGTCGTTCAATGTAGCCAGCCCATCATAGTCCACCGACGCACACTCCTTCACGCCCGCACCCTCCGCTGTCTCCATGAGGCGGCGCACGAGGGCGTCACACGCAGGGGACACCATGGGCGCGAAGAAGCACTCCCACGAGCTGTTGTGGCCTGAGGCTGGTGAGAGGGGGAAGAGGGAGAGGGGGGGGCGAGCGGGGAGTGTGGGGGGAGCGTGGGGGGAACGAGGGGAACAGTAGGGGGAGCAATCGGGCGAAAGGGGGAAGTGAGAGGCGTGGGCACGGGAAGGAAGGGAGAAAACGGCAGTGAGAGAGGTGGCATGTGGTCATGAGGCGGCGCACGAGGGTTTCACACGCAGGGGACACCATGGGCGCGAAGAAGCACTCCCACGAGCTGTTGCGGCCTGAGGCTGGAACATGGGAGTGGGGGAGAAGTGGGGGAAAGGGGAGAGTAGGAGGAATAAGGGGAGTAGGCGGGGTAGAGAGGGTACGGTAAGTGGGAGAGCGGTGAGGGTTGTTAATGCCATCAGGCGTGTGTTGGTGTTGTGGTGGTGGTGGGCACAGCACACATGGTTACACACACGTAAAGATGGGCAGTTGGCAGCAGCAGGGGAGAGATGGTTAGTGCATAAGCTGACTCAGGCAACTGAGGGAGGGAGGGAGGGACGAATGGATGTTGGAGGGGGTAGACGGTGCAGGAGGTGACTTGTGAGCCAACTTCTGATCCCACCTGGATGACATTCTGCACACTTTGGAATGCATGAGGCATGGGCGTGACGCATGGGCGTGACGCATGGGCGTGACGCATGGCACGCTCCATGTTCATGCCCATGGCACACGGTGCGCAGTGCTCCCAGCAGCTGGGCGTACCGATGCAGTCGGAGGTGTTGGCGTGGTGGTAGGAGTCGGGGTAGGGCACGAGTGTGCGGTTGAGCGCCATGGATAGGCTCAGGAACAACCCCGTCACATGGATCTGCGGAGGAGAGCGTGGGGTGAGGGCATGGCGACGGAGGGTGGAGGAACGGAGAGGAGGGGAAGAAAGTGGGGGGAGGGTGTTAGGGGAATAGAATGTTGGGATGAGGCGAAGAAAATGGGGGGCCGAGGGAACGAAGGGGAGATGAGGGGAAAAAAGTGGGGGGAACAGGGAAAAAAAAGCAGAGGGGAGGGTGTGGGAAGGAAAGAGCAGAATGACGTGGATGGGATGGCATGGGACATGGCTGAATGGCCCCAAACATGCATTGAAATGGGAATTCATAGCCCCGGCCCAGAAAGCATACTCCACTAACCCTGGTTTGTCACCTCCTCAATGCCTCTCGATCAAGGTTCAGGGTTCTGGGTTGAAGGACTTCGTGTGCTGGTTTCTGAAAGGTTCTGGGCAGTTTCATCAGCTGGAAGAATCCCTGTGGCACATATCACTACGGCTTCAACCGCTCTCCACTGCACTGCACCCCCGACCCCACTCACCCCAGTCGCCCACTCACCCCCAACCCAACGCCGCGCATCTCCCAGGTGAACCAGGGCAGCACAAGCAGGCGCTGACTTCTGGCGCATACCACTGCATCTCAAACCGCTTTCCACCGCATCGCACCGCAACACACCCCCGTCCCCTCCCCACTCACCCCCGACCCAACGCCGCGCATCTCCTGCGTGGACCAGGGCAGCACGAGCAGGCGCTGCCCCTGGCAGTCCCCTGGGGGGAACTGGCGCTCCCAGATGTCCCTCTGCACCACCCGCGTCTTGGCCAGGTTCTCCGCCTCCGCCCCCCTCACCTGCGCGCGCGGGGGAAGGGGGAGGAGCGGAGGGGGAAGGGGAGGCGAGGGGGAAGAGGGTGGCGGGAGGTGAATGGGAAGAAACGAAAGTCTTGAAGGGGGGGGGGGGGCTTCATTTGCGTCAAAGCAGGACTGCCTTTCCCTGCTCCAGAAGTAGGGGAAAAGCGGTGGGATGGGGGTGGGGTTGGGAGGGGTGAGGGTTGGGGGTTTCGGGGAGAGGGGAGGGATAGATGGGGGACGATTCTTGGGATCCGGAACATTAAAAGGGGTGCTAAATAGTGGAGAGGGAAGTTCGGGAAAGAGAAGGGGTATATTGTAAGGCACCCGAAAAATCGTCTCATCGTCTTAAGGAGAGAGGAGGAGGAGGAGGAGGAGGAGGAGGAGGAGGAGGAGGAGGGGAGGTGGGGAGTGGGGGGAAGCGGGGAGGGGATGTGGTTCCGTGAAAGCATGTAATAAACCACCAGCCTGGTTGTGACAGGAAGGTGAACTTGGTGATTTGGGGTTTTTGCGGCGCTGCAGTGTTTGTACAACTGCTTGCATTCACGAAGTTACAACTCTCTGAAGCGGATACAGAGTCACAGACTCTCGGAGCTACAGCACACGCACCCAAAGGTTCATATCATGCACCCACGCACCCACGCTGCTGCCTCCACGCCCAACCATGCTGACTTCATACCCATGGCGGTTGCGGGTCGCACTTGCAGCAGTCCGCAGGGCGCGCCCACCCCGGCGACTCCCCGTTCGCCCCGCGCTGCTCCGCCTCCCGCCGCCGCGCCGTGCGCGCGACGCACTCCTCCAGGTGGGGCGCGCGGGGGACGTTGGGCGGAAGCGATACCACGTCGGGGGGAAGGCGCTGCTCGGGCTTAAGGCCGTAAGCGTTCTCCCATTGCTGCGCGCGCGGAGAGGGAGTGGGGCGGGGACAGCGAAGGAGGCGCGCGGAGGCGGAAGCAGGGAAGGGAAAGGCGGAGGAGGCGGAGAGAGGGAGGGAGAGCGTTGGTTCGAATGTGCGGAAGGACAAGGCCACAACAAGGGGGGGGGGGGGGGGGGGTAGACTAAAAACTCGGGGTACACCAAAGCATCCGCGCAGTTACTTTGTCTCGAGGACTTCACCCGCGTGACACGCGACGAAGGTGGAATGAAAGTTTCTCGCGGCTTGAAGACAATCTGAAATATAACTGTCTGATCTCGAGTTTGATAAATTGGCGTTTCAGGACGTCTCAAAACTCAATCTGGAAATCCACTGGCAAGGATCTGATTCCTGCGGATGATCCGATTTGAATCTCTCTTTTTTGCGGCATTGCGTTCCGCATGGCCATCAATGCTTGCTGAAATTGCGCCGAGAAAGCACCAGCCTTTCCTAGATTCTAAACTTCCGAGTCGGGAGAATTGGAATAGAAGTACTGCTACAGCTGGCAGTAATAGTGAAAGACACGGCGCGGCACGCACCCGGAGCAGCGACATGCCGCGCTCGAGCCCCATGTCCCCGACCACATTCGACGCGTCGAGCGCGTGCCCGACGCGGACGACTCCGCCAATCCACGCCGACTCCGGCACTAGAAGAAGAAGGAGAAGGAAAAGCGGCACCAGCGCCGCGAGGGGCGCGCACGAGCCGGTAATGGCCATGCCGCCGTGACCTCTATCGCCAGCGGCTCGGCGCGGGGATGATCCGCAAGGCGCGAGGAGAACGCAACTCTGTGGCCTATAATCTCTGATGTAGAAACCGCGTGTCTAGAAAGTCTACTTTTGGCATTTGATTGCTCCCGGAGTCACGCGAGGCAGCAGCGAGCGTCGTTAACATCGCTCAGCCACGAACGAGGCAGCATAGACCAGTAGTAGTGGTGCTACTACACCCTGACATCGTCACCATGCTCCCTCTTTACGCCATAGCGCGTTGAAAAAACTAGGCCTTCGTAATGGCGGCGTGCAGAGAGGAGTAACGTAAGTGGTCACAATTTGCGGAGAAAATTAGACGGCCCCACCTAACAATGGCAGAAGGCCGCTTTGCAAGGATGGCGGAGGGATGGATGGAAGAGTCTTGCCTCAACAAGTGCCTTTGGTGCGAAATTCACCAAACCTTATTCCTTGTTCACAACCCTACCTAAACGTTGAATGACTAAATCAGACCGCTCGGAAGCGCACGAAACCTCAACCCGCATGAAACTTTTGTTGTGAGACGGTTTGCTGGTGTCCTCTCAAATCTTCGTCGCACCGCGATGAATACATACTGTATCATCGCCAACAGACAACCTCCCACCCACGTAGGAGGGTTAATCGTGGCATTTGGTAAAGAACCGCACATCAGCCACCTCACTTTCGGGATCTGGAAATGCGATCCGCTGAGGGACGGATCACCCAGGCCACAGTCCTGCTGTGGTGTAAATTGAAAGTCAGGTGTACAGCGTGTTTCTAAATCTCAGGGGTATTTTGAGCTGTACACTGGTTTGCCCGGAGGGGTCCTATAGTAGGGAAAGAAGATTCTCGACGGCTCTCTGCATTGAAGGTGTCTGCTTTGGACCTGCACACGCAGAGGTTTTCGGAACCACGCATCTCGTTACGAGTCATCATCTGAGACGGGTGGAAATTCAGAATCTATTAACGGGCTTCCTTGGCATTCTGGAAAACTGCCCTTTCCGGGCTTGGCAGCGTGTCGGTAGGAGCACCAGACCAGACAGCCCTCCCCACACGACCATTTTGTCAGACATCCTCCTGTCGTTTTGTTTAAAGCCGTGGCCCAACTATCAGCTTCAACTTCAGGGTATTATAGCTTGAAACTTGGTAGTCCCAGGCAGTTCAGTGGCGAGAGGTTTGTCTTGTGCGAGATGCCATTTTTTTCGTCCAGTGGGGGTCCCGTTACGCACACCACTACGTCTGATGGGCCCGGAGGAACTAATCTGTGTCATCTTGTAACGTTCCTTAAGAGGCAGTTTTGGGGTCTTTCAACTCTCTGTTTAAACGTTTTAAGGTCAGTGGAACCAGCAGTTCGGATTACATTCATGTTCCATCCACATGAACCCAATTGGAATTCAAGGATGCGGAACGCGTCCTAAACGATTCCTGGATGGTGCAGATGTTGTTGGATAGCGCGGGAAGAAATGCAGCAGTCCCATTACGGGTGCAATGGGACGAGATCGAGAGGATTGCACTACAGATGATGCCCAACCCCTGCACGCGAAATTGCCTCGCACATTCCAGAAACCTTCCACCCGTGGGTTTCCTGCCGCCAAGTTGCACCTACGTTACAAGCACGTCGACCAATAGGAAAGCCAGAAACGGAAGTCTGACTGATGAGACTGCAGTCAAAAAGTCAACGGTGAGTTACAAAACCTTTTTATAAGCCCTTTTTGCCCGATGCGAATTGACGAAACCTCCACGAAATGCAAGAACCACTTATAGGCCCATAGGGTAGGCCGAGATCGGGGGGCTCAACCGGGCATCGTGTGTACGTGGTCAAAAGATACCTGTCAAAAGTAGGGTTTTTAGTTAAGGCGGAAGAGGTACTTCCGAATCTGCGAGGGACCTTCATCTCTACCTGCACACAGTTTCCCAGGTTTCGCATCCCAGGCAGAAGAATTATTGCGCTAAGACAGAATTCGTCTCCACATTTACCCACGTGTCATCATCTCGTAAGCCCACTGCACATTTTCTTTGTTTATCCGAAATAGACTAAATCCCTCTCGGCTTGCAAGAGATAAAGGGCATCAACCCTAAACACCTCGCGACGAAATGTTTAGGGTTGATGCCAAAATAAAATCCCTCTTGGTTGGCATGCTAGTAAATGGCATCAACCCTAAACACTAAGCAACAAAGTGTTTAGGGTTGATGCCATTCCTGATGTAACTTTGCATGATTTTTCTATAGGCAATGACATCAACCCTAAACTTCTTGTCGCGTGGTGTTTGGGGTTGATGCCCTTCAAAATTTGCCACCCGAGAAGGGTTTAGTTTTGTGCTTCTTTGCAGAAGACAGCCGTGAAAACAGTGCTTGCGTGACGTGCGGAGAAGCCGAGTTCTGACTTAGCACAATAACTCTTCCGCCTCAGAAGCGGATCAGCGGAAAGTGTGCGCAAGTTGAGATGAATGTCCCTCGAAAGAAGGACAGCTACAGCAAGCCTTCATGGGAAACTAAAAACCCTACAAGTATGAGAGAAGGTATGAGCGAATACTTATGTGCAAAACATGCAACGAGCTAGCTACTGCTAGGCTGGCATCGAGGTTCAGGCTAGCCCCGAAGCGTAGGCCGACTCGGCTGGGCTAGCGGTGCATGGTCTGGTGAAACAGTGCGCGCGAAGTTGGCGAAGCCCTATTAGCAGTAATGGGCAAACAACGGCTGCTTCTTGTACGCGATGTTGACGGTCGCGGAAAGGAATGTTAAGAAATAAACCTTACACTACCCCCCCACCCCCCCCCCTCGCCCCCCTCAGGAAGCCCCCTCTGCTACGCGAGTGTCTGTATATCGCGGAAACCCCGGCTCCTTTGGTACACTTGCAGGGCAGGGTGGTTTTCGATGTTGGCCAGGAGCACCCAACTATCCTCAGTTGGCGCGCGGTCCTTCCAACGAACGAAGAACTCGATCCTCTTGATGCCCGTGGGGTGTCGAATTCGATGGCTCAGAGTCCTCTCGGGCTCAATGATCGGCTCCGATGCAGGGCGAATCATTGACGGTGGTCGATGTCGTGGCAGTTGGCTTGTGGTCGGGATGTATGGGCGAAGCTGTTGGAGGTTGCGTGAGGCAACTTTGCCCCCAACCACCGAACGGTGTTGGCTTGGTGCTCACTTTCGAGTGCGTTGCAGGTTGGCGTGGCGTTGAAGGTTTGACTTTGGAAGACCCATCGATTCGGTGCCACATGGTAGCACCAAGAACATTCGAGACTCAAGGAGAATTCGGTTCGGTGAAATTCGAGTGTCGAATTTCACCCCTTCAAAATGTTACTCGAACTTTCGAGAGTGTACCGCGGTTCGAGGTTACTTGTGTGGGGCTCGATGTTGATTGCATGCTATAAATCTGTTTGCTTTGTATTGCATGTTTCATACTGAACATTGTGAATCACCTTGTATGAAGTGCATTCAAACACATCATCCAGAGAGCTTCTATTATACGGTTTAAGAGCATAGCCTTTACGTGAATGCCTATATCTCGGCAGATACTTAAGCGATCGACGTGTTCTACAGCTCGTTGGAAAGCCAACAGCTTGCTCTTCTGCTTAGTACAACTTAGAGTTCCTGCCAACGAGATGACACACCTCTACAATAGTGGTATCAGAGCTGGTCGGAGGAGTCTATGCGCGCGACAAGGAGCAAGTACGCCGACTTCAAGCGAGGCCTCCCGCACTTCCTTGGATGGTGTCGTCACGAATCCCGGCGAACCCTGGACTACCGCGTCAGTGTTCGACACGTTGGCGGTTCCGATTTTCACGGGACAAAACTACTCCGCGTGGAAGTTTAAGTTCCAAGTGCTCATGATGGAGCGAGGACTTTGGGTTCTTTTCGACGGAACGAAGATAAAGCCGGACAACGCGGACGAGATCGCGACATGGAAGAAGAAGGACCAAAAGGCATTCGCTACACTAATCTCGCGCATCGGCATCAACCTCGTGAGCGCAGTGCGCACATGCAACAAGCTCGAAGCGTCGGCGCATGAAGCGTGGAAGCGGTTCGAGACGATGCACGTGAACAAGACTATCCGTGGCAAGATCCTAGCGTGGAATGCGTTCTACACGGTAAATTTGTTGTCAACGGGAGTTCTATTACGCCCCATCCTCGCTTGGGCGGAGCCGACCTCTTAGTCGGGTGTTTGGGGGAGTGCAGCTGACCTGCAGCAGTGGGCGAGTTGGTCGACGAGGAGGTCGACCTGCACGGGGGCCACTGCGACGGGCGCCAACTTTGGAGGGTGCCGACTGTGGGGTGGTCGACCTAGCGGGGTCGACCTGGTAGGGCGCCAACTTCAGGGCACCGACCTTGGGTGGCCGACGACTTAGCAAAGTCGGCGGCCAAGTCCCGACGTGGTCGACGAGGGAGGACGCCGACATGACGGCATCGATCTGGTTGCCCGGTCGACCGTGTTACCCGGGCGACGGACTTCGGCAGAAGCATGGGAAGGTCGCCGGGGTGGTTTCTACGAGTTCGACCTCGACGGTGGTGTCCGGAGGTCGACGTAGCTGGTGGGCGCAGCCGCTGGTCTGGAGCGTGCTAGACGTCTGCGCTGGGCTCATGACAACGCGTGGAGCACCAACCAGATGTGCGCACCTGCGAAGCAGGTGCGCCGTTGTCCTGCGGGTGCAACGTTGTGCAGCCGACTTACTGCAGCGTTGGCACACCGTGGACTTGCAATGTTGGCAAGCCACGACTTTGCTCTGCTTGAGCGCGGTCGACCAAGTCGTGTTGGCACGCGGTCGAGCGTGTTGCGCTGGAAGCCGATCAGCAGCTTTGCTAGGTCTGATGTAGTCTTGCATGCCAATAATGTTGCTACCTTTGTTCTGAACTTTTCTTAGTGAAACTCTTGCAGTTTTGCCCTGTGAATGTACAAGTGCCAGAGAACAACTAGGGAACAAACTCAGAGATAACACGAGCATCCGTGCCTAGCCCATAGTCTAGCTCTCTTTGATAGAGTTATCTCCGCAGTTGCGC